GGCCCGAAGAATTGGCTTGAAGAGCAGCTACTGTCAACAGCATTGTCAACATCATTCGAGCATATGGGTATGGGGCAATTACATGGAAACAACAGCAGTGGATCTGGAAAAGCCAAAATTAGATATCTGCGCAGTAGCAGCATCACCTTGGGTAAGAAGAATTAAAAGGAAGAAACTGAAGATGTACGCCATCACACTGTACAAAATCGATAATGTGTTGGGAATACAGGATGTACAAGAAAAGTCCTGCAACAAAAGTCATCCCCAAGGAATACCATGAGTTCTACCCATCTTCAGCAAGGTAATGGCTAAAACGCTATCACCATACCAACCCTACAATTACAATATTATGTTACAGGTGGGCTTTACACTGCCATTTGGGCCTATGTCCGGCTAATCTTGAGAAGAGCTACATGTTGCAAAAGAATGGATCAAGATGAACTTGTCCAAGGGATTCATCCGGTCATCTTCATCACCTTGTGGAGCCCCAGTACTGTTTGCTCCAGAACCAGGGGGAGGCTCAAGACTCTATGCCGATTACTGAGGCCGAAATGCAGTAACAATATGAAAGCGGTACCCCATACCATTAATACAAGAGACCCTGCTATGACTGGCGAAGGCTTGCTATTATACAAAGCTAGACGTCCGCGATGCGTATAACATGATCAGAATCTCAGAAGGGGACTAAGTGAAAACAGCTTTCAGAACCCAATATGGTCTTTTCGAATCACTCATTATACCTGTCGGACATACCAATAGACCAGCATTCTTTCAAGAATTCATCAACGATACACTACGACCTTTCCTGGATATCTTCTGCATGGCTTTTTTGGATGTCATCCTCATCTACAGCGATAACCTGAAGGAACACAAGGAACATATCAGAGCAGTCTTGACAGCACTCAAGGAAGCTGGTCTCTACCACAATACAGAAACATGCAAGTTCCATAAGGAAGAAATCAAATACCTGGGTTAATTGTTGGAGTAAATGGAATCAAAATTGATTTGTGGAAAGTCCATGCAGTTAAAACTTGGGCAGCACTGGGCAAACTTAAAGAAGTCCAAGCCTTATTAGGCTTCGTCAATATCTACCAACAATTCATACCAATTACAGTAGGGTGGTACAACCACTGACAAAACTGACAAAAAAGCTACAACCTTTTCACTGGGGGCCTGATCAGAAAAGAGCATTGGCCAAACTCAAGTTAGCTTTTACGACAGCATCAGTGCTAGCCCAAATGAACTATGAATCAGAGATAGTCGTGGAAACTGACGCTTGGAGTTACGTATCAGCAGGTGTCTGTTCGTAGTATGATGATCATGGAGTACTACACCCAGTGGCCTTCATTTCCAAAAAACTTTTGCCTGCTGAAGAAAATTACGAAATCTACAACCAAGAGTCAGGCACGATAGTCAAAAACCTTGAACAATGGGGACCCAAATGCAATGGTTCAGCACATCCAATTCAGATTGATAGAGATCACCCGAAACTGCAGTACTTAATGGCATCCAAACTGTTGAATCGAAGGCAGACCAGATGTTCCGAATTTCTGTTGAGGTTTAAATTCATGATGATTTGCCAGCCAGGAACTCAAGGTCAGAAGGCCAATGTGCTCACTAGAATGCCAGGAGACATTCTTTCGAAGGAGGGGGCATAAAAAATCCAGCAAATCCTGCTGAAAACGGAAAACCTTGGCAAAGAATTATGTTAGCCATTGATGGTGCCTTTCGCAGAAACCGTTAATCTCCACAATGACTCAGTGAGTCCCAAAGATTTATGGAATTGCGTAAAACAGGAGCAGTTAGTAGAAATCTTCGAATCGCAACAAGTACAACCAACAGATGAAAAAAAGCTCAAGCTAATCCAAGAGTACCATGATTCTCCAGTAGCAGGACATCCAGGATGAGCAAAATCTTACAACCTTCAAAGCCGAAATCATTCTTGGAGTCAGATGAGGAAGGACATGGATTACTACATACAAAATTGCCAAACCTGTCAACAAAGCAAAGTAGTTCAAGGAATAACCCATACACTTTTACAATCACTGGAGATACTGGAACAAACATGCAGCGATCTGAACATGGATTTCGCAGTTGGACAACTGGCAAGCAAAGGGTCGAACGCAATATGGATGGTGGTTGATCGTCTGACGAAAATGTGCTACCTGGTACCGTGTACTGACAAAGCGGATGGAAAGAAGCTAGGGGAAATGTACGTCAAAGAAGTTTTCAGACTGCATGGACAGCCCAAAATGATAGTGTCGGATCGAGGGCCGCAATTCGCTTGGGAGTTTGCAGGTAACAATCTCACCTCAGGGACGACCATTTGCTATCCGTATTATAGCAAGTACAGTGTTAATCTGCGAATGACATTTTGCCGACATCGAATCCACGATCCTGACGATAGTCGTGAGCTATGCGCCTGTCAGATGGCCCAACAGATGGAGCAACTTGTGTGCGAAATCAGACCAGAAATGAAAAGGGACTGGGCCATACAGTCCGAACAAGCCAATGAATCCCAAAGAGTCGGAACAGAGTTAAAAATAGGAGACACAGGATGGATGGATGCCTGAAACCTATCAACAGACAAACCCAATAACATACTGGACTGGAAACGTATTGGACCATTTGAAATCACCGAGGTCATCAGTCCATTGGCCTATCAAATCAAGCTACCAAATCAACTATGCATTCATGACATTCAACCGATATCCAGATTAGAGCAGGCCGCCCCGGATTCTCTCCCAAATCAAAACCAAGAACCACCACCAGTGGTAATAGTAGATGAAGAACAGGAGTACAAAGTTGAGCGGATAGACCATTCCAGATTGTTCCGGAGGCAGCTGCAGTATTTGATATAATGGAGGGGCTAAGACAAGCGCAGCTGAGACTGCGTGACCAACATAGATGAACTCAAGGCGATTGCCAATATTCACACTGAACGACCAGGCAAGCCTGGATTATCAACCGTGTAGATACTTGGTATTGGGGAGGGGGAAGCTGGTGTCACGGTTGTGTTGAGTGACGATCGGTAGTAGAGTGATGATCAGTGAATGATATAAAACCCCAAAACATGATGAGAATGAAATCAGATTTCGAGCAGAGGCTAAAGCACAACAAGAATTTAATCATGTTTCGAACGGAAACTCAAGCATGACGACAATGAAATCAGGTGTCGTGGACAGGCTAAAGCACGACGAAAATATAATCAGGTTTTGAATACAGACTAAAGCTCGATGAGCATGAAATCAAGTTCCAAATCAGGTTTCAGAGGAAACAACAGAATCGTATGAAAGTGATGTACAAAGAGAGCAGGAGTTCGGATATATTATGGAATGAATTGATCACAGTATATTAACTGAGCATTCGCCAGAGGATAAGTTTCTTTCTTCACTCGTTCATTCGTCCATAATACAATCTATTAGCTTTGGCTGTCACTTCTTTCACACTTGGTGATTCTGGATCGAGACTCTGCGTACAGTCCTTGCCCTTGTGGCTACATGCTACCCCAAACCTCTTAGCCATCAGGCTTTCGGCTTTTATAACCCTTAGCACCTCGAGCCCTGAACCCTCGATACAAAGCCCTGAACTGTTGACATATGTCACAGTTCTTTGCAAACCTTGGGTTTGATTCTTGAAGAAATTGGCCCATCAAACCAGAAGCAATGAATTCTGCATCCAGAAACTAAATTCACAGGATGACCAGAATGTATGCACTGTGCTGTATAGGTATAGAACAGGCGCAGGAGACAATGTGAAAGTATGAACCGTATGCAAAGGAACCTCTGAAGTATTCTTTGGTGATTTGGTTATGCTAAATGGGAAGAACCTCGAAACTTGAGGACAATCTAAAAAACAAGGTGCAAAACTTCATGGACCGTACAAGATCATGAAGGTGCACTGGCCAACCACTATTAAGCTTGAGTTACCGCATTGATGGCATATTCACAATGCCTGCGATTTATCACTCAATGTACTCCATCGACTCTCCAACACTTCCATTCGACTGGTACCAGTACCTCCTAATGAAGCAAATAAGTTTGGTTATGATGTGGATGGTTATACATATGAAATGGGTTACAACGTTGACAAGATCATGGGTAGCCAGTAAAGCCAGGTATGAATATGTGTCTTATATCTGGTCATGTGAAAGGGATATCCGGAAGATGCATATTGAACTGAGAAACTTTATGAGAACTTTGAAGACAAGAAACTGTTTATCAAATATCACAGACAGATTTCTCAGGCAACCAAATTTTAATAGAATCACATGGCAGATCTAGTACCATTTCCCCAAGAACAGTTTTTATCGGTTAGCAACACATCTGACCAAGGATTTGTATTTTGGGCACAAGGGGTCATATTTTCCAAATTACAAAAGACAGATGGTTATGGTTTTGGGCACAATGGGTAATATTTTTTAAACCAAGAGAAAGGTTGATTTGGTTTTAAGAATACATAGAGTCAAGAATTTTCCAAATCAAAGAAAGGAAAAGAATGCAAAATATCTTAGCTGGACACAACCTGATTCATCGATTCGGCTTGCTGTCATATGTTCCGTCTAGATGTAAGCCAATGAATTGATCGACTCTGCTTGCATGTTTCCACTGGCCAAAAGCAGGTGGTTCAAGCAAAATGGTTTCTGCGAATCATCAACATTGTGGGTTTTGAACAATTCACTTCAGCGCGCTGCATCATATTTTGCCAAAGGCATCAAAGGGTAGATATGTATAGGGTATGGTCATTCAGAGACAAACTGTCTAAGGAAGTTTGGAACATATCAATCCACACTCATCAAGGGCCAGTACCTCAGTTGGTGAAGTATTTGTCTGGTATAGAAAGGTCCTATGTTCAACTGCATTTATTTCCATGGCTCAACATGGTAGCAATACCTTGTTGGTAAAAAGATGAATGGCTTGAGAGTGCGCCCCGGAAATAGCACACCAGGTGCAGTGTGGTTTGAGGGGGAGTGTTGGAACATATCAATCCACACTCATCAAAGACCGATTGCTCAGTCGGTAGAGTATCTGTCTGGAATAGAAAGATCCTAGGATCGACTGCTAGCCAGTCTATTCTTCTGTTTGGCTCAACAGGGGAGACGGTAGTGTTGCACCTAGCAAGTACGCAGTGGGGTTATATATGATGGATCTTGAATTTCCCTGATTAGATGTCATCGGTCAGTACTTGTCTCGGATGGCAGAACCAATCTTTTTGGATGGATAGCAATCATACAACCACACCATCAATAAGCAATGATGGCTAGTTAATGGCTGTGGTTGCATGTGCTCCAAATCACTAATATCAACCAGACACCCAACATACAGTTGAATGGTATCAGTCAAGAAGCTGACACTTGCTGATACCAAATGGACTGCCAGCAAACAACTGAATGGTAGAAGCCAAGAAGCCAACAACTGCCTGAGGCCGAAAAATATGTGCTGACCGTGAACAGCGAAGATGTTCTCTAGCGAAAAACATCTATTTGTTTGGAGGTCAACAATCCGCAAGGATTCCACTGGTCCAGAGGCAATTGCCTTTGACCATATTGTCATAAACGATACTGATGGTCAGATTGTTATCTAATAGTCATAAGGACAGCAGAGCATTGGGAGATGGAAGCAGTGTTAGCTGCAGAGGAATGGGCATTGATTCAAAGGAGGTCTGAAGGTGGTAAAAATGCCAGAACTCAAGAGAAAAATGTAGATTGAAGTATTTGTTAGAACAATGACAAAGATATACAGACCTTATGTTCCTTGAGGGTAGAAAAACAGCAACCTTCTCAGCGAGCAGAACAAGTATTAACAATATACGCATTGAAATGCTATTCTTTTGGTTCAGATTCTTTTTGTGATTTCACATTCTAAGTGAAGTTCCAAGTTCATCTTTTAAACAGTCCCGAATTAATCACGGATACAACATTGACTGGCTACAACCTTGAATTATGCTGCCGGTATTACACAGATATATATAACAGATAAATAACATATATGTTTTTGAGTGAAGAAATAGATTTCACAAGATACAGAAACAAGTTACAAACAATTGCCACATATAATAAGCAGATGCAAATGAGGCAAATTTGATATGAGCTGAGAAGATGTAAATACAATGTAGAAAGTGTGAGGGGATATGAATGTATATTGTATATGTATGTTAATATGATAATAATCAGGTTTTTTGTATATAAGAAAGCTGTTTGAGTGAAGGATTGTTTTGCTCTTTATCTGATCTCTAGTCTATAAAACAATTATCAGCTGCAGCATGAAACTCTCTTCACATCTGTGATTCCATGTTTTGAGTCTCTTGTCATTTTTGCAATACTTGCAATTTCAAATCTTAGTTTGGATTTTATGATATCTACAACTTTGAGTAATAAAACCTTGCCAGAAGAATGAGTCTACAATTGATTCTACTGGTAATATTCCAAGTTTATATGTCAATACCCATACGATTCAGGCTACTACTATCATCATTGTATTTGTAATACAACCTGAATTGATTTCAGTTATTCAAGCAACATGAAAAACAGATTTAATATATATATATATTGGTGATACATCTTTACACCATGTCTTTGCAATTTTCAAAGACCAACAAATCTGGATAGTTTTTGCAATTGGAACTCATGGTAGTTAAATATATGAGTGAAAAATCCAGCGACTCTATTTACTTCTGATATTGTTCAAAAACCTCTACTGTCAGAGACCATGATCATTCATATTCAACATTTCACTGTATCTGCAATATACCACAGGAATGGCTTGGACTTGCAATCTGTAACTACAGAGAAAACGAATGTAATATTTTCTTTGACTCCATGAACGAATCTGACTGTATTATCTGCCTACACTGGATCCTTGGCTTCGAAATTCCTTCATCTTGGTACTTAGCCAGACATCAACAAAATATGTCTCTCATCTTGCAGAAATATATTTGAACAGGAAGATATTCAAATGAACATTGAAGTAATAAATGAATATTACTGTCCAAAGCAAATCATGGAATCCACCAGGTTCAAATTCTGACTGATAGAATACATTAATTATCCAAAAGACCACCAACAGTTTGCCATCAAGTGTTCATATAGTGGAACCCTGGAAGTTTCATTTTATGTGAAATGTCCAGTATCAATCACTGCCGAATATACCGAGAAATTGATATCTGGAGCCACATTTATGACAAATGCCTAGAAAAAGTACACAGTTTTGGTTCGAAAATCAATAGATATCTTTACCAATCACTTTTAAGGAATGCAAGATCTCATGTCAAGCAGCAGTTCAAAACAATACCCACGCAATGTCAAAATATTTGCAATAGACCAAGACACAATGTCACCAATGATCTTAGCGAATTTCATAGTAATGAATCCAGAGGATATCCTGACAGCAAAAAACAAAGGGAAAGACTGTATAGGGCAAAAGGTATGAATACCAGTATCACAAATTGAGAATACAATTGGGCTACTAAGCAACCCAATTATGGTCCAAACAGTGAGAATGTCTGAATTTCTTGAACCAGGAAAGGACTTTGAACAAAACCAGGCAAATACGGACAAAGAACTGGTATTGATGCAACCAACATATAGAAACTTGTAAGCATAAGTGTCTATTGTTACGCATGGGGATTTACTAGTCAAGATTGTAAAGCTAAAAGAATAGCTGGAAATCATAATGCCCAGAGATATATAGAGTTAAAACAGAAGGTCGAAAATGCAAAGAACAATCGAAGAATATTCAACAAATGTTGAACATGTATCTGATCCAGGTTGACAAAGTTTTGGAAATAGAAGGAACCACAGGTGGTGGCAATAATGAAGACAGAACCCATAAGAGTAGCAAATTTCTTGAATTCTCCAGAACAGTTAGATAATTCTTCTGAACATGGATGGTGCAACTTTAAATGAAGACTGCAGATGAACTAACATGATTTTTTGATGAACAATTCAAGATGAAATTCAGGGTAAATTAGCTGGCAAAAGTAGCTTTGAACCAGATCCAACTATTTATAAAAAGAAAAATCTGAAACGTCATGCTAGAATTACTGGAAAAATTCTTGAAGCTACTGCAATGGCTATTGAAGATCAGGACATAAGTGCCACAGCAAACCAACAACTCCTCAAACTTCAACTGAAAGTGCAAAATATTGGAATTCATTACGCATAATTCCATTGATCAGAACCTCATATTGATTGGAACAAAACTGACCAACTGGAAGTATTGCAACAAGATTTGTCTGAAGAACTGAAGGATTCACTACAATATTGAAACATCCCATCAGACCTTAAAAAATTCATCAAAATATGCTCAAAAAAGACTGCCAAATCCATGCCTGAGCTTCAAAGAGAATGTTAAAATGCCGGACAGGGGGACCAAAAAAATATGGAACTGTAAACAATACCATATCTACTCCAAAGATATTCCCAGTGGGAATGATAGCAGGTAATCATTGTCCTGCCCCCATAGACCTTCAAGCAGGCAAGGGAAAGAAAATCACAACTGAAAAAAACAAGTATTGAAGAGTAGGGAAACTATTTATATATTGCAGAGTTTCTACATATTTCACAGCAAGTGGTCAAAGACAGTTGAATGCAGCATCAAGACAGGTAAAGATCAATCAGTTCAAAAACAATTATGATTGAGAAAAGAAAAAGGTAGTGGAATCAGAAAAAGTCTAGACCAGTCCAATAATAGCAATTGTGCTGGTTGCAAATCTTCTTTGTCAACAAAGATTGATTTTAGTATGCGAATTGTGTAGTTTTCGATCAATAGTATTGAAATACAAGAATCCTCAATAGAATGCACATACCTAGTTACTCCAAATCAAAGACAAATTAATTAACACCCATATTCAAATTGACTCTGGAGCAATAGAACTAGCATATGTAGATTGAAATAATATTTACAATCACCAGTGAAAAGAGAAGGAATTCCAAGGGTCATGAGAATTGCCGGTAAATAATGGAAGATCAATTAAATTGGGAACTATTACAAGAATGTCAAAATTCAACATAGTAATACATAGACATCAAGAAAAACTACCACTATTTGTTACACAGTCAGGACACTATTCCATAGTATTGGAACTTTTTTGGTTACAACTTCATAATGTGATGATCAAATTTCAACGCCAGATGATTGGCTTCGAAAGCAATCACTACCAACAATATTGTGAATATCATTTGAGTATATGGGTACGGCAAAATCATATGGAGAGAAGGCAAATTCCAAACCAACCAAAGCTGAACCTATATACTTTTGCGGTCGCACCCTATATATATAAGAATAAAAAAGACAAGATTAAGGTCAATATAATAACCTTGTATGAAATCAACAAAGCCCTTGAAATTAATGATCTATATAAAAAAAAAAAGAACAATAGATACAAAATGAATGCCATAAGTATATCCCCATATTCAATACAGTAATTGCGGAGAAACTGCCCCCATATTGATCATATATCTTTTGGGTAATACTACTGGTGGGCTGTATACCACTATTCACATCCATCTTCAGCTATTCCAGAAAAGCAATACAGGTGCTAAAGGAATCGATATAGAAGAACTTGTCAAGAAGATTGAGCAGATCAGTATTGTTATCAAATGGAGCCCCAGTATTGTTCACACCAAAACCAAATGGAGGATTGAGTTTGTGTGTTGACTATTACAGACTGACAAAGGAGCAATCAACAACCGATATCCACTATTCTTGATCTATCAAACCTTGATAATGTTTTTGAAAGCCAGCATCTTTCAATAAATTCATTAATGATACTCTATACTCCTTTGTGGACAAATTGCATTTGACCTAACTAAATGACACCCTATTTCACAGAAACAATAAAAATGAATGTAAATATGATGTCCATAAAGTGATGCAAACACTAAAGGAAGCAAGGTTATATCCGAATGTGGAACATTATGAATTTCACCAGGAAAAGTGCAAATATCTGTAGTGGATAGTAGGAGTTAATGGGATTCCGATAGATTCCAAAGAGATACAAGGAGTGAAAGAATGGGAAGCACCAAGCAAACATAAAGCAGTGCAATTATTCTTAGGATTTGCCAAATTCTATG